TTTTAGAAAACCTCTGACCTCACTGAACCTCAGTTTCCCTGTTTGGAAATGAAGGGTTTAACTAAGTATTTATAGGCTTTTCTCACCCTGCTGTTGTGGAACCTTCCAGCTTAGGGATGCAAAGGGTCTCTGCCTCTGGCTTAGATCAGGTAACCCCTCCCCATTCCCCCTCAGGAGACCCAGCCAGGTTGGGAGACATGGTAGAAGCCTATGCTGAAAGGCACCTGTAGAGTGAAAATGCTGAACACAGTGGGGACATGGAGCAGGCAGACCCTGCTCCCAAGCAGAGCCTCTCAGGGATGACACCCCCCCCCGGGGGGAGGGTTCTGGCAGACCCCAGGGAGCCAGTCCCACCCACCCCTCTTGGGTCACTTCTCTCCATAGCAGCCATCCTCACCCTGTGGTCTCTGCCCAGAGCATCCTGGTCCTCAAGCCTCTAACAGGCCTTTTAAGGGGGCAGAGAGGTTATCCGAGAGGTTATTGCTTTCTTTTGTTCTGTTTAAAATTGCCCCCAGAGACTCCAGAGCCCTACCTAGAGCTTGGGAGCCTGTGCTAGGAGAGGCATGGTGAAACGTAACTTGTGGGGGTCCTGTTTAAAGTCAAGCTAGCATGTCTGTAAGGAATAGGGCTGGACTCAGGGTGATATGGCTCTCTGCAATGCCACCTGGACTCTGAAATTCCCCTAAAGCTGCTTTCTCAGCCATGGCTGTTCTTGCTGTCTATCTTTGTTCTGTTTCTCTCATTCTCTCTCTGAAACAGCTTTATTGAACCAGGTATGACAACATATACTGTTAATCCTTGTACTAGAAAGGTGGGGTCAGAAGGATCAGGAGTTCAAAGTCACCCTCAGCTACATAGTAAACTCAAGGCCAGCCTAGGCTACATGAGACCCTGTCTCACCTGACTCTGCCAGCCAAAACTACATTATTGACAGATGGAATTTACTTGCCATAATCTCTCTTTTGCTCCCTCCCTACTTCCCTCCCTCTGTCTCTCTGTCTCTGTCTCTCCATCTCTGTCTCTGTGTCTCTCTGTCTCTGTGTGTCTCTGCCTCTCTCTCACTCTCTCTGTCTCTGTCTCTCTGTCTCTGTCTGTCTCTCTCTCTTCCCGAGAAAGGGTTTCTCTGTGTAACAGCACTGGCTGCCTGGAACTTACTCTGTACACAAGGCTGGCCTCACACTCACAGAGATTCGCCTGCCTCTGCCTCCCAAGTGCTGGGATTGAAGGCGGGTGCCACCATGCCCGGCAAACTTTCCCTTTTACAAGGTACAGTTCAGAGGTTTCTCATATCTCACTGAGTTATAAAACCTTGACTATCAAATTTAAAACACTTTTTAGATAAAGCTGGTGCCCCACAATGGTACTTCCTCAACGAGAACTGATTGCCTTGACCCAATGGATGTAGCTTGGCATTTCAGACTCTGTAAAAATGTGTTTATTTATTTGTGGATTTGTATGGGGTACATGTGTGTGCATGCTATGGCACAAATGTGGAGATCAGAGGACAGATTTTGGGAGCCAGTGCTCTCCTTCCACAGTGTGAGTCATGGGAAATGGGACTCAGGTTGTCAGGTTTGGTGTCACGTATCTTTACCTTCTGAGCCAGCTCTCTAGCCCGTGGCTGGGCAATTCACATGCATGGAGTATGTGGTCCCTTCTGACTTGATGCTCACCCACACTGTACCAGGTCACCCTTCCTTTCCCTGCGAGGCTGGACAGTTCCGTTTATGCCTTATTTTGTGTTTATGTCATTTACCAGTTGGTGGCGATTTGTGCTGTCACCACTCTTTGGCTATTTCAAATGATGTAGCACAAGCATTCACCTGTTGGTCTCTGTATAGCTAGGGGTTTTCACTTCCTTTAAAATTACACTGACTTATTTAGTGTGTGGACATATTTGTGCACAAGTGCACATGCCACAGCCCATGTGCAGAGGTCAAAGTACAACTAGCTGGAGTTGGTTCTCTCCTATTGTTAGGTCCTGGGGATTGAACTCAGGTTGTCGGGCTTGGTGGCAAGCACCTTAACCCACTGGGCCATCTTACCAGCCCAGAACCCAGTTCTTTTGAGTGTATACCTAGGAGTGGAATCCTGGATCAGCTGGTAACCGTGGTTAGCATTTTGAGGGACTGCCCAACTGTTCTCCAGGGCAGCCTACACAAACTTGCCACCACAATCCATGAGGGCTCTCTCTAGTGTCTCCTCATCCTTGCCAACACTTGTTACTGTCTGTCTAACCATAACCGTGCTAGTGGGAGTGAAGTGGAATCCCATTGTGATTTTGATTTGTATTTCCCTAATGATTAATGATATAGAGATCTATTGGCTATGTGTACAAGAAACATTTATTCATATCCTCTGCCCACTTTTAAAATGGGCTAGATGTCATCCATCTCTATGGATTTGCTTATTCTAAACACTTTATATAAATGAAATATTATATTAATGCAGTTCATCATGACTTATCTCACTTAGCACACTAACCTGAGATATGTTTAATCATATATCTTTATTCCCCGCCCCCTTTTTAAGGCCAAAGAATATTCCTCTACAAGGGCATATCATATTTAATTTTTCCTTATGGATAAATTATGGATATTGGGTTGTTACTACCTCTTGTTTAGGCTGTTTCATCTGAAGTAAAGTTTTCATGTAGAATGAGGCAGGATCTAGCTTCATTCTTTTGCATGTGACTCTCCAATCATCTTTCCTCTCTTGATTTCCAAACTATGACTGGTCCCATCTTAGGCTTTATTTCCTTTGGAAACAGGAGAACACAAAATAAAGCACTTGAAACAGAAAGACACAAGTTTAGATTCAAGTCATTTCTGCCAGGACACCAGTAACACCACAGGAGTTGTACCTGAAGAGGTAGAAACAGTGATGTGTAAATGTGTGTAGAGATGTTCAAAGAACCAACAGACAATGAAGAAACCTTAATGCTAGGGAGCCATTACTATCCCTGTGCCTAGAGGAGCAGGAAGAGAAGATTCTAGAAACCCACTAAAAACTAGAGCTTCAGAAGACATGGTGAGCTAGGAACACTGCAACACCTCCCTTCCTCCAAAAACCAGTGTGGAAGGGATCCTGGACAATGTACAGAATAGGTACAAAGTGATAGGACTGAACTAAAGTGGTCAGAGAGAGAGAGAGAGAGAGAGAGAGAGAGAGAGAGAGAGAGAGAGAGAGAGAGAGAGAGAGAGCATTCTGTGTGGTGGTACACACCTTTAATCCCAGTACCCCAGGAGTCAGGTGTATCTCTCTAAGTTTGAGGCCAGCCTGCTCTACATAGTGAGTTCCAGGACAGCCAGGGATGCACAGTGTCCCTGTCTCAAAAAACAAATTAGTAGAAAGAGACAAACAGACTTTGTTTCTGTCCTAAAGATGTTTGTCCCAAGGACAAACAGGTGCTGGGCTGAGGACATGGTCACTAACCGCTGCTTGATTCCACACTTGACTGTGCTCAGGGCCGCCCAAAGCAGTTGTTCTGAAAAAATTACTTCGTGTACTGAGCAGGATGGTTTCACAGCCCAATGGGAGTGACCCTGCACTGACCCTGGGTAGCAGCCTGGGCTTGTTCAGATGGTGTTCATCCCTGAGTCCCTGTTCCTCCAGCATGTCTGTTAGATGGAGTTTTGGGCCTCCACACCCTCTGGGTTCTGTTGGTCTCTCCAGATCGAGTTCTGTGCAGAGCATGAACCCAAGGAAGAAAGGTGGGGAAATGGGGCTCGTCTCCCTCATTGTGGACTCTGCTTCTGTTCATGTGGCTATGCTAGCTTGGCTCTGTGCTTGCTGCTTTGTTGGTCTATACTGCCTCTTTAGCATACAGTAGCTGCCCACCTACTATGTGCTGCACATAATGCTAGATGCTTACCTTTTGAGATATCTTTTAAAAATCTCAGATCTTCAGAAGTCCAAGGCCAGACAGCTACATGAAATCCTTTCTCAAACAAACATATGAGCTCTAAGCCTGGTGTAGTGGTGCACACCTGTAACTCCAGCACCTGGAAAGCTGAAATAGGAAGGTCATAAATTGGAGGCCAGCCTGAGCTACATGCATGTCTCAGTAGAAAACAAAAGCATTCCTAAATTGCTTAGTCTGGATTATTAACTTGATAGGATTTAGAATTATCTTGGAAACACACCTCTGAGGATGTTTCCAGAAAGGTTTAACTGAGGTGAGAAGCCCCACCCTGAATGCGGGCTTCCCAGCCTCTTGGGCTGGGGTCCTAGGTCAAATAAAAAAGAAACCTCAAGCACCAAGTATTCATCTCCCAATGCTTCCTGACTCAGGACAGTGTGACCAGCTTCCTCAGGCTCCTGCTTCCAGCCTTCCCCATGGATCAAATCATGAGCCAAAAGAAACCCTTCCTCCCTCAGAAAATGAAGCAAAACAAACAAAAAGCAACCCCACCTTAGGTCTGTCTGAGCAGTCTTCAAGCTGGCCCACCATCCTTTCTCAGTAGCTGTAATCAGGGGCGTCACCCTCGATAGTCCCTTTCATCATCTTGGTTCAGCCTAGGTGCCATTTTCAGACCCTCTGTAGTTCCCAGGCCCTGGCAGCATCCTTAGTTCTGCCATAGCCACAGGTCAATCTAATCTGGGAGGTTGGCTTTACAGTGTGGGTTGTTGTCCCACTATTAAATCCCCTAGCCTGGGACAAAACAGTATACAAAGTAGAAACTGTGATGTCTTCCTTCTCTCCCTCTGAGCAGTTCTGTTTCATCCAGGTTTCCATCACCATAACAAAATACCCGAAATAATCTACTTACACGAGAAGGTTTGCCAGACCTGTGGTATATGCTTATAATCCCAACACGCAGGAGACCGAGGCAGAAGGTGCCAGCCTGGGCTGCACAACAAGACCTTATCTCAAGAAAAAAATAATAGTAAAAAAAACAAAAACAAACAAACAAACAAAAAAAAAAACAGACTGGTAATGCAGCTCAATTGGTAGAGTACTTGCTTAGCATACATGAGGACCTGGGTTTTCTCTCCAGCTCTGGAAAAACCATACATGGTGGCCCTATGATCCCAGCACGGGAGAGGTGGAAGCAGGATGATCAGAAGTTCAAGGTCATTTTCAGACAACTGAAAGAATTGAGGGAAGTCCAAAGAAATGATGGAAAAAGGTGAGAGTGATGTGGAGTAAGGGAAGGGATTGGGAGGTTTTAGCCCATGACCAACTCACTTTGGGCCTGTGGTCCAGAGGTACAGCATGGCAGGAGCGTGTGGGACAGTGAGGCCAGAGAGGCCAGGGTTCCACGGTCCCCTCCCAGGACAAGCCTCCCAGTGACCTAGCTCCTTCCTGATAGGCCCCTCCTACTGGGAAGCTGCAGAATGTGGCAAGTGCACTCTTTAAAATAAAAACAGCAAAAAACCCCACAATTTTAATTACATTTATTTACTTATTTGTGTGTGTGTGCACGGTGTTCCAAGGCATGCATGTGGAAGTCGACTTGTGGGAGCCAGTCCAGAGGATGGAACTCAAGTTGTCCAGCTTTGCAGCAGGTGCCTTCACCCACTGAGCCTCCTCTCCTCGCCAGCTTAGGCTTGTTTCTTCCAGGTGTGTGTGTGTGTGTGTGTGTGTGTGTGTGTGTGTGTGTGTGTGTGTGTTTGCATGTTTGCACACGCGCACATCAGCTCGTGTGCTTGTGGAGACTGGAGGACAAGCTCAGTCCTTATTCCACGCACTTTGTTCTTTGAAATTCTTATTATTGTTTTATTATGTGTATGGGTGTTCTGCCTGCATGAGAGTGCCTAGCGGGCATTGGATCCCTGGGACTGGAGTTTCAGATGATTGTGAGCTGTCATGTAGGTACTGGGAATTGAACTCAGGTCCTCTTGAATAATAGCCAGTATTCTTAACTGCTGAACTACATCTCCAGCCACCTATCTTGTTGTTTGAGACAGGATCTTTCACTGGTCCTGGGGCTCAAAGATTAGGTGAGGCTGGCTGGTCATCAAGGCCCTAGGAATCTGCCTGTCTCTGCCTCTCCAGCATTGAGATTACAAGTGTGCATCATAAGCCTGGCTGTTTGCGTTGATTCCGGGCATTGAACTTGGGTCCTTATGCTTTCAAGCTGAGCACTTTACTGACTGAGCCATTTCCTCAGCTCTTAAATTCAGAACTGCTTTTTATGCAGCATTTTCTTTTGTTGTTGTTTTGTTTTTCAAGACAGAGTTTCTCTGTGTATCTTTGGAGCCTATCCTGGAACTCATTCTGTAGACCAGGCTGGCCTTGAACTCATAGAGATCCTCCCACCTCTGCCTCCCAAGTGCTGGAATTAAAGGCGTGTACAACCCATCGTGAAGCACTTTCTGTGTGTGGGAAACACTTGGTTCCTGCTCACAGGAGCTCACTGACCTTAGCTCAACCCTCATAGAAGCCCTTGCGACATAATGATAACACTAACCATCACACACGGGGGGAAATGGACTTGCAAAAGCGAAATGGCAAAGTGGGAGTGTAGTGGGGACACAGGCTTTGTACACACACACACACTAGAATGGCCTAATCCGGACCCTGTCTCTGAAGAATAAGACAAAAGGTATCAGAGCCTGTGCACTTTCTGGCCTGCAGCCCGATGAGCTCCAAAGACCAGTGGTTGCATTTGTCCCTGTTTGTATAGGAGGAGAGGGATATGGAGGAGGTGAGTGACATGTCCACTGGCTTAGAGGAGATAGTGGTAGCCTTGAGATACTCCAGGGTCAGTCTCTTGGCCTGCTGACTCAGTTTCCTCTGCAGGTCTTGCAGCCCTGCTGTGGGACAGGCTCCGAAGGTACCTACACTGGTCAGTCACACCTCAGATCCTGCTGCTGGTAAAAAGACCTCTGTGGTCTGTGTCCTGGAGCCACAAGGGTTATGTTTGATTTGGTGTGCCCCAGCTGTTTTGATTGATGGTACTGTCCACAGTGGGCAGTGACAGTACCCAGGCTGGATTCCAGGGGCAGAATTCAACCCTGAGGTTATCAAGGCTGTGTGGAAAGCAGTGGACTAACTGCATTCTGGGGAGAAGGACTGGGCTCCTGCATAGTCTAGCGGAGAGACCACATGAAGGAGAGTTCTCTCCTGCAGACCTCAGAGCCTTTAATATTGATATTGCACAAGCCTGATGATGCAATAAAGCTCAAACTCCCTGCTGTCCTCCCAAGATTGTTAAATGCTGTTCTAGTTTCTCTGACAGGTCCTATCATGCCTGAGCCCCAAGGTTCTTTGTGATTAGACAGGTTAACCTTGAAGGCTTTATCTAGAAGGGAGTACTCCTCTGCACTGGAAGGGCACCACAGAGATGGAGAAACAGGTCCCAAGCAATCCAGCAGTTTGGAGAGGGGAGGCTGGAAGCAGGTCGGCCATATGGGAGAGGTTCTGGAAGCAGGCCACAGTCTAGCTACAGGTGGAGAACAATTAGATAACCACATTCTCACCTGATATTTCTCCTGACGTTGGATTCCTGACTTAAAAACCAGACAGTCACAGGAATTCATGGCCACCATGCTCCCACGAAACCAGATCATTAGTTAAATCATTAGTTAGGAGACATTTCGTATCTAGAAAGGAGGAGGCTTATGTTTTATGTGCAATATTTTAGGTTTGCTTGTTTGTTTGTTTGTTCATTTGGTTTTTCAAGGCAGAGTTTCTCCATGTAACAGCCCTAGCTGTTCTGGAACTCACTTTGAAGACCAGGTTGGACTCCAACTCACAGAGATTCACCAGCCTCTGCCTCCTGAGTACTAGGATTAAAGGCATATACCATCATGCCCAGTTTTTTTAGGCTTTATAATTTAACTCCCATAGTGTTCTAAACAGCAGAAATTAGCACCCCATTGTACAGGTGGGGCAGCAGAGACAAGGACAAGAAATCAGCAGTGAACAGTTTTGAAATCCGATCCCCTTCCAGGGCCTCATGGGAAGGTACAGTGGACCAGGCCTTCTGGAGCCTTCTCAGGCTTTGGCTGCTAGTGAGGAAGGAACACTTTTGACTTTTCTGACCTTGGAATTTGGGTTTCCAGGAGCATGATGGGCTCAGAGAAGAAACCTGGTGGTCGGGGAGGTGACTCAGTAGGCAGAAGCTTGATATACAAGCATGAATATCTGAGTTCAGATCCCCACCACTCACATAAAAAGCTAGGCATGGTAGCATGCGCCAGTGCTGGGGAGAGAGGAGGCCAGCGGACCCTGGGGACTTGATGGTTAGCCAATATGGTCAAACTGGGGAGTTCCAGGTTCAGTGAAAACCCTGTCTCGAAAAATAAATCCAAATAAATACAAACGGAGCAATACAGGCAGATCTGATGCCAACCTCTTCATCTACACATGCATGCACAAGTGAGCACATCTGTACACACACATGTACACATACACATGCAAGTGCACACATATGCACCCTCACATATGCACACACACACACATACACACACACATGCACACACAAATGCTCGTACACTCATGCATGCATAGACACATACACACATGTGCACATGCACTCACTCATGCAGACACACACGCACACATGAGCACACGTGCACAGTCGCTCATGTATGCACAGACACATACACATAGGTGCACACGAATGCATGCACACACACACAGTAGCCACAGTAGCTGGTTTTGGAAGAAGGAAGCTCAGTGGTTTCTGGGATGCCTCTGTGCTAGAAACTGAGTTACAGATGAGTAGGTCCTTGGGGCTGAAGAGATGGCTCAGTAGTTAAGACCCATGTGCAGTTCTTGTAGAGGACCTGAATTCCCATGCCTCCCAACAGCCAGTTCTAGGGGATGTGATTTGATACCTCTGGTCTCCATGGGAGCTGTGCTCAAGTGTACACACCCACATAAATACAGTTTAAAATAAATAATTTTTTTTAGATTTTATTTATTTATTATGTATACAACATTCTGCTTCCAATGTATGTCTGCACACCAGAAGAGGGCACCAGATCTCATAACAATGGTTGTGAGCCACCATGTGGTTGCTGGGAATTGAACTCAGGACCTCTGGAAGAGCAGTCGGTGCTGTTAACCTCTGAGCCATCTCTCCAGCCCTAAAATAAATATTTTTAAAACAAACAAAGAACCAGATCAAGTAGGTCCTCCATAGTGCTCGAATTCAAATGCCAGAATCTGTAAATTAAGTTGATGGCCACAGGGATTTAAAACTGTACCTGGACCAAGTGTGGTGGTGTGTTTCTATAGTCCCAGTTAAGCAGGAAGCTGAATCCAGGAGTTCTAGGCTATAGTGTGCTATGCTAATTGGATATTTGCACTGTTTGACATCAATATGGTGACCTCCTAGGAGCAGAGACCACCAAGTTGCCAAAGAGTGGGGAGCCAGCCAGGCTGGAAATAGAGCAGGTCGAACCCCAATGCCAACCAGTAATGGGATCATACCTGAGAATAGCCACTGCACTCCAGCCTGGGCCTGGCATGCCCACAAGGGTTCCTGAAGATGGGCAGACAACAGGGGCAACAGGTGGATGGCAGAGCAAGGCTGTAGGAGGACTTGAACTGACCATGTACATCTTGAAGGCAAAAGAATGTTTTGGGGACCCTAGAGCAGGTGTGAGGCATGAGACAGGGGGTGGGGGACATTAGTCTGGATGATAGAAAAAGGACAAAACAAAAAGAATCTGTTTATGGTGGGCAGGGTGGTTCATGCTTGTAATATTAGTACTTGGGATATTGAGGCAGGAGGATCAGGAGCTCAAAGGTCAGCCCTGGTTACATAGCAAGTTCAAGGCCAGTCTGACATGCATAAGATCTGTTCTCAGTAAACAAAAAAAGTCTTCAGGAGAGCCTCCAGAGAGGAATGTCTACATCTAGGTTCTAGCCCAGAAATATCTATCTTATATCTGGCTGTTCCTCCCCCTCCTTCCTCTGTACATAAACATATAAATAAATAAAGGAAAAAAATAGGATTTGAGGGTGTAAGCTCGGTAGATGCTGGCCCAGCATGCTGAGGCCCTGGTTCAATCCCCAGCACTGAAATAAAAGAAAAGCCCATGTTGACCTCCCTCTAACATTGTGTGAATTACTAAGTGTGTTTTGTTTTGAGCCACTGTAAATGTGAACATTTCTTGTTCTTTTTTTGTTTGTTTGTTTTGTTTTTTTTGTTTTTTTGAGACAGGGTTTCTCTGTGGCTTTGGAGGCCGTCCTGGAACTAGCTCTGTAGACCAGGCTGGCCTCGAACTCACGGAGATCTGCCTGCCTCTGCTTCCCGAGTGCTGGGGACTAAAGGCGTGCGCCACCACCGCCTGGCAAATGTGAACATTTCTTACAGAAGTCATAAAAAAGGCTCAAGGGACTGAACCAGGTCCTAGGTGGTATGGTCTTGTAAAGTCTATTTGATTTTTCCCCCATTTCTGTCCTGTACTTCCTGAAATCCCCAATATCTCCAAGGCCCTTGTGCCTTTGCATCCTAGTGAATAGTGGAGGTTGATGAGGTCTTAGAAAGGCAAGGTATGATTGGAGGATTGGGACGTTCATCCAGGGACTGGAGGAACAACTGATGGTCACCAAGGCCAGTCACACCTATATAATGAAATCTTGTGGGTGAAAACCCACAAGAATGGGGTGGCACACTCCAGAGTATCTGTGTGCTTATCTGTGAGCACAAAGACCTCTGTGCCTCCTAACAGGGGATGAAACAAACCAGGGCCAGGCTTCCTTTGTTGTTTTGTTGCTATTGCTGTTTGCTTAAGACAGATTCTCATGTAGCCCAGGATGGCCTTCAGCTCTCTGTATAGCCAAAGATGACCTTAAATTCTGGAATCTCCTGCCTGCATCCCCCAAAGGCTATGATTGCAGGCTTGTGACACCATAACCATTTTATATGATTCAGGAGGTGAACCCAGAGTCTTGTGCATGCTAGGTGAACACTCTACCAACTGAGACACAGCCCCTGTCCTGCTTTTTCATTTTTTCTTTACTCCCTCCCTCCCTCCCTCCCTCCTTCTCTCCTCATTCTCCTTTTTATTTTTGAGACAGGATCTCACTATGCATCCCTGGCTGTCCTGGAACTCATTATGTGGAGCAGGCTGGCTTCAAACTCACATATATCTACTTGCTTCTGTCTCCTGAGTGTTGAAATTAAAGGTGTGCACCACCATGCCTGACAAACTTGCTTTTACAAGTCAGTGTGATGGCCAGGGCAGATCCTAGGGATTTGATTCCCTGTTAGAGCTCTCCAGAGCACTGTTGCTTTGAGATGAAGTTTCCCAATGAACCTCGGCCACACATTCAGACCACAGAAGTGGCCGCATACGTTTCTTTATTTCCTGGCCTTGGCTTTCCCCTCTGTGAAACAGAATCCTCTGGTACCTCCACACCTCCTGGGTGGTGTGACAGTGGCCTGGAAGGAGCAAGTGGTGAGGCTGGGAGCGCTTGCTGTGGTCTTCAGCACCTCCCAGTGGGCCTGAGGCAGCTAGGTGGCACACACCTTTAGTCCCAGAACTTAAGTAGAGGCAGGGAGAACTCTGTGACTTCTTGGCCAGCCTGGTCTACGTGGAGAATTCCAGCCAGCCAGGGCTATATAGTGAGACCCTGTCTTAAAAACTAAGCCAAACCAAACAAACAGATAAGAGGGGACAGGTAGGGTCTGGGGTGTCACTCATATAAAGTGATCATATAAAGCCTGCTTAGCACGTCCTGGGTTTGATCCCCAGCACAGCAAATCAGAACAGACCACAGCTCAGCACTTCAGGTAATGGGACAAGCTATGTTCTCTCTCTTCCATTTTCTCTCTTCACTTTTCTTTTTCTCAGCTTCACAGGGCCCATTTCAGCTCAAAGGCAATCACGTGTTATATGGTTTGGTTTCTATGGTGCTGGCAAGGAACCCAAGACCTTGCCCACTCTGCCACTGAGCTACACTCCTGCCCAGGCCAGAGCTTCTGAACCTGAGCCCTCCCTGACTGTTGTTTTTAATCTATGTTGTTCTATTTACCAATAAGTCTCAGGAGTCAGATATTGGGGTGCAAATCTGCTAGATCTCAAGGGTTTTGGAATTATTTGAAAATAATATATTTTCATTGATTCAGATGAGAGAAGCATTTTTGAACACTAACTTTGACTGAGGAAAGAACTGATGTTGAGCATACAATATTGTCATCATTCAACTGTGATCTGTCTTCTGTGGATATTATTTCCCCCATCATCCTTAGCATTATAGCTTCCAATAAGTTCATTAAAACATTTCTAAATGAGAGAGAAAAAGAAAAAAGAAAATCTGCTAGATCAGAGAAGCTCTATCTGCCTTCCCAGATCTTCCATCCTCTCTATGGCTAATTCTTGTCAACTAGTTGTTGGCACCGCCCCTTGATCCAAGATTAACACAATGTGATCAAATATCCCACAACAGCTGACCTTGCAGGATTATTGTAAGGGTCAAATGAGACCATCCTTTAAAAGATCTTTTATTGCCTGGAAATTCACAGGTGAGGGCTGATTCCTACCTGACTTGCTTGTCAGCAGTGCAGAGGAATCGTGGACATATGTCCTTTGTAACATGATTGACATAATACAGATTCGGGGGTGGCATATGTGTTTGTTATTATTGTATGTGTACGGGCATTTTGCCTCCATGTATGTCTGTACATCATGTGCCTGCAGTGTGCCTCCAAGGCCAGAAGAGGGAGTAGGGATCCCATGGAGTTATGGACAACCTACATCATGTAGGTGCTGGGAATGGAAACCAGGTTCTCTGCAAGAGCAACAAATGTTCTTTTATGTTGTTGTTGTTGTTGTTACTTTGTTTGTTTGAGACAGGGTCCTGCTATGTAGCTCTGACTGGCCTAGAAGTCTCTATGTAAACCAGGCCAGCCTCAAACTCAAAGATCCCCTGGCCTCTGCCTCCCAACTGCTGGGTGCTGCCATGCCCGGCTGTAACAAGACAAGTGCTCACGATTGCTGACCCATCTCCCCAACTCCTGTTGTTTTTCTATCTTTACATAAACAAATGTAAAAAAAAAAAATAGAGAGACATAAGAAGGCCAAAAGGCTCAGCTCCATGGTTCTGATTATATAAAGTTTAGTGTGCTGATACTAAGTACAAAAAAAAAAAAAAAAAAAAAAAAAAAAGGCCAAAAAGCTAGATAGAGCAGAAGACTTGCCATTAGGTTGAGGTTAGCCTGGACTACATAACAAATGAACAAATCAACTAACAAACAGGTCTGGTGAGATGACTCTGAGGGTAGCACACCTGATGCCAAGCCTGAAGACCTGAGTTCAATCCCCAGGATGCACATGGTGGAAAAGTGAATCCATTTCTGAAAGCTGTTCTCTGACCTCTACTCACACGAACCTACATACGCTGACATAAGCAATAAATGTTAAAAACAAACAACACCAAAAAAACTTCTGGGCAGGCGGCACACGTTGAATCCAGCATTCAGGAGTCAAAGGCCAGCCTGTTCTACATAGCAAGTGCCAGACTGTCCAGGGCTACACGGTGAGCCCCTGTCTTTAAGAAACAAAATAAAACAAAAACCTAATACTAACATAAATATCACACTTTAAAGGATGTTTTTGTTGTTATTGCTGATTTTGAGAGTCTTGTTTCATAGTCTGACACCAAACACCTAACCTCAGACAATGCTCCTGTCCTCAGCCTTCCAGAAAGTGGGAACTACGGACATTTACCACTTTGTTAAAAAAGGGTTCATGTCTGTTCACAGGCATGTATATAGAGTGGGAGATCAGAAGAGAGAGCCTTGCCTGTTGATCCTTGCCCTCTGTCTCATTTCAGACAGGGTGTTTCTGCTGTTCACTGCTGGGATAGCTAGTCTGCGATCCAGCAGTTCTCCTGTCTCTACTGGTATAGAGGAACACTAGGATTACAGATTCCAATGACGTTTCTGTTGATTCTAGGGATCTGATTCAGGCTAGCAGGTTTATGAGGCAAGTGCTTTATGCACCGAGCCATCTCTCCAGCCTCTAAAATCATCAAAAGATGGTCAATATTCAAAATTTCCCTACTGCATGTTTTTTGTTTGTTCATTTTGCTTATTTGAGAAAATATATCTTTGTGTGTCCTTGACCCACTCTTTTTTTTCCCCTAAATTATATTCTTGAAGCTGGTGACATGGCTTGGTGGGTAAAGGACACTTGCTGCCAAGCCTGATGACCAGAAAGTAGTCCTTGGAATCCAAATGATGGAGGGAGAGAACGGATTCCATAAGTTGTCCTCTGGCCTCCATAAGTGCTGTGCTCTTGAAAGCAACACATTAAACAAACCAACAAACAAGTTTTTTTTTTTAAAAGATTATTTATTTATTATATGACCCGGCCCGTGGGACACTCATCAACGCAGGAAACTGGGTGGGGGAGACAAATGAAGGACAGGAGACACAAAGAATGAGAACAAGTTGGAAAAGCTGATCAAGCTCTGAATTTATTAGAACGAAGGGCAGGGTTTTTATAGCAGTGGGTGGGGGGAGTGATTTCCAGGGTGGGGTGGCAGTAAAGGAATGCTCAGCCAGGCAGGAACTGTTGTAAGAAAATGTGCTATCGCCTGCCTGCCTGCTCAACCGCAAGTAGTCATTTGAGAAACAGTGCTAAGAAGAGGAAGCAGAGATTTAAGCTTCAGGGCTATCAATGGCGTTGCTCGGGATCTTTACCTGTTAATTAGGTTGGCTCCCAGCAATTATGTTTACAGTGTTCTGCCTGCAGGCCAGAAGAGGACACCCAATGTCATTATAGATGGTTGTGAGCCACCATGTGGTTGCTGAGAATTGAACTCAGGACCTCTGGACGAGCATCCAGTACTCTTAAACCCTGAGCCATCTCTCCAGCCCCCAAACAAATATGTTTTAAAAATAAAAATGGTTCTGGGTATGGCGGCACATGCCTTTAGTCCTTGCACTCAGGAGGCAGAGGCAGGTGGAACTCTGTGACTTCAAGGCCAGCCTAGTCTCTATAGCAAATTCCAGGCCAGCCAGAGCTACATAGACAGACTGCCAAAAAAAAAAAAAATCATATTACTTCAAATGCTGTGTGTTTTCCTCCCTTTCCTTATTCATTTGCCAAGCTCTTTACATATGAAGGATATTAACTAAAGTGAAGTAAACAGCTTGCTGGTCTTCCTCTAGGGAAAGAGATGGAGGCTTCAGGATCTTCTTCCCAGTCTGAAGAGGCCAGTGGAATCCACAGAGAAACAGAAAATCTAAACTGTAAGTTTATCTTCTCAGACCCTCTGAGCACAGCCTCTGGGGACGTGGGTGCAGAATGGGTGAGGCCATCAAAGACCCCGCCCAGGTCATGTGATTTTCCAGTCACATGCCCGTTCCAGACTGTTCCCCACACTGCCTAGCTGAGCAGGTCTTCAGTTGCTCCCCAGATTTTGAGAAGTTTCTAGGCAGCTTGTTTTGGAAGTGGGGAGCATCTCGAGAAAGTGGGAAGGATTTCATGCATCTGGCCTTGAAGAAAGGGAAGGTTTGGGGCTTGACCACAGGCTGCCCTCTGTGTAACTGAGGGAACCCTGAACCAGTACTGAGTCTGGAGATCTCCAGGTGGGATAGTGGGGACGGGGGAAAGGGAGCTTAGAAGACTATTTTCTAGGGTCTGTAAGCAGAGGAATGTTTGCCTTGGGCTGTCTTTGGCACCTCTACCCAGGGGTCTCTGAGAATCTTGATCTTGGACACCTTCCATTGGCCTTGGATATTCAGGGGAATAGTTCCCCCCTGTTGGCTCCATGAGTGCTCCATGGAGAGGCTGCACTGTTGCCAGGGGTGGGTCAGGGGTCAGGAAGTGCTCACCACCTTGCCTGTGCGCCTCCAGACCAAGAGACAGAGTTCCACAAGCAAGATGGGAAGGCCCGAGAACGATGTGAGAGAGACAAGTCTTCCTCCTCATCCTCCTCATCCTCCTCATCCTCCTCTTCCTCTTCCTCATCATCTTCCTCCTCCTCCTCAGGTATAGCAAACATTCTTAGGAATGGGGTGTGGCTTGATGGTACAGTGTTTACCTCATATGTACAGAGCCCTGGGTTCCATCCCCAGCAACACACACACACACACACACACACACACACACGAGAGAGAGAGAGAGAGAGAGAGAGAGAGAGAGAGAGAGAGTAATAGAAATATATTTAGAAAACATACAGGGCTGAATTTATAACAACATTGGAGCTGTCATTTAGTGAGTGCTTACTGCCAGGTACTCTTTCAAGTACTTTACACTTAAGAACTCAATTGTCCCAGGACCTCATCAAGGAAGATATAATATTATTGGAAGTCTCATTTTACAGGTGAAGCACAGGAGGCTACGTGACCTGCTTTAAGTAGCAAACTTGAAAGTCCTTGAAGGTCTTTCTGGGACTGGGGAGTTTGTGGGAGTGGATTCTCTGACTGGTCAATTGGAGCTTCTGCACTCTGATCTATTTTACACGGCGGGCCTGAGCTTACAATTCCCAGGCTTGGGCTGAGGGTATAACTCTGCATGGTTGGGTTCTTGCTTAGCACAAAGTTCTGGGTTCCATGCCCATCATAGCACAAACCTAGTATGCTGACACACATCTATAATCCTACCATTCAGGAAGCGGAGGCTGGAGCATCCATCATCCTTAGCTAGCCTGGGCTACATGAAGGAATAGCCACTAAATAAAGCCAAGGAGAGTGATATAAATTTGTAATTCCAGCACTTGGGAGGTAGCGGCAGAAAGATGGGCAGGCCATCCCAGACTAGCCTGTGCCACACAGAGAAACTGCCCCAAGCAAACAGAAAATAAACACACTCTTTAAACACCTAACTTATGTTATGAATAAATCATAAGCAAAGCTAAAATAACTGTCAATCACCTGTTGATGGACATTGTCCCTGGCTGATAGAATCTAGAGTTTTATTTCATTTATATTTTCCATATTGTTTGATATTTTGCAATGAAGAACTTTTTTCTTTCTCATTGATATATATATATATATATATATATATATCAATGATATATATGAGACAGGGTTTGACCAGGCTGGCCTCGAACTCACAGAGATCTGCCTGCCTCTGTCTCCTGACTGCTGGGATTAAAGGCGTGCACCACCACTGCCTGGCTTCTTACTGATATATATTTGTAAAATATAGAAAAGAAGGAGATAGTTGGGCATGGTGGCAAATGCCTGTGAGCCCACTCTCAGGAGACAGAGGCAAGAAGATTGCCACAAATTTGAGGCCATTCTGCTCTACATAATGAGTTCCAGACTGTTTTATTCATTAAGATAAACACCACACAGGGACTGGAGAGATGGCTCAGAAGTTAAGAGCACTGCCTACTCTTAAGAGGTCATGAGTTCAATTCCCAGCAACCACATGGTGGCTCACAGCCATCTATAATGACATCTGGTGCCCTCTTCTGGTGTGCAGGGATACATGCAGGTAGAACACTGCATACATAATAAATAAATACAAATCTTTTAAAAAAAGGTAAACACACATCTGTTATTTTGATTTGCAGTCAGTCCTCCACATCCATGAACTCTGCATGCTTGGATCCAGCCAACCAAGGGGTGAAAAAAAATAAACTGTGTCTATATTGAACACAGATGGCTGTTTTATTGCCATATTACTAAACAACACCAAGTATGAATTATATAGCATTTACGTTATAGTAAGCATTACAAGTAATCTAGAGGTGGTTTAAATAACAAAGGGGGATCTGCAAGATGGTCCAGTGGGTGAAGGTGCTTGCTGCCAAGCTATCCACCCACGTTCAATCCCTAGGACCCATGTGATCCACATGGTAAAAGGAGAAAAGCAACTCTTGAAAGTTGTACTCTGAACTTCCACACATGTGCTGTGGCATGTGCTTCCCTGACCACACATAAATGCATACTTTTTATTTATTTATTTATATTTGGTTTTTCGAGACAGGGGTTCTCTGTCTTGTTTTGGAGCCTGTCCTGGAACTAGCTCTATAGACCAGGCTGGCCTTGAACTCACAGAGATCCGCCTGTCTCTGCCTCCCAAATGCTGGGATTAAAGGCATGCACCACCAATGCCCGGCTTGCATACTTTTTAAATTAAGAAAAATAACACAAGAGGACACATACAGTTTCCATACAAAATGCTACAAAGTCCTGTATAAGGAACTGGTGTGTCTGTGGCTTTTGATGTGTGTATGTGTCAAGTCTTAGAACCTTCTCCCATGGATACCAAGGGACAACCGTAGTACCAGCCAGCTCTTGCACTGTGTCAACTGAAAGTACGTGAATACTGACTTGGAAGCACAGCTGACTGGCTTCCTGGAATTTTAATGAATCCATGGTTGATAAGGAAGTCCCTAAGCACACTGAGGGAACTCATCTGGGGCCATCTTGGTAGTCCTAGGAGAAAGCCCTGTAGCCAGGGACAAATGACTGATTAGTCTAAGATGTATACAACTCAGCCATGGGTTATATCCCTTCAGCCTCCTGCTCCAGGCTAGGCAACCTGAGGCAATGGAAGATACAGGCTGTGGCCTTCAGGAGCTCAGATAGTGGGAAAAACAGACACTGTCTATCCCTCACGGTGACTGACTCAGGCACAAGACAGTGCCATAGAAACCCCAGGTGGGAAGGATAAGGTCAATGAGTGTCTGAACAACATGAATGGGGTTCCTACAGGACATGTGACATCAGCTCAGCTTCACAATCTGGGAGACAAGTGGGAAGGAGTTCCAGGCCAGCAGACACACACCAGCAGAGCAGAAACCCAGAGTCCTGTGGCATCACCAGGACAGACATGATAACAGCATTGTGTGTGTGGTGGACTCTCCATAAGATGGCACGTCATGGAACTTGGTTGCCTCTTCAGGAAAGCCTCCTTGGGCAGCAGCAAAAGTAGGGCTCAGCCAGAAAATACAAAGAAGAGAGTGACATAGAAAATTAGGGGCCACTGTCCTCAGCAGGGCAAAATTCCTTTCTCCTCAAAGTGGGATCTTCGAGACTGTCTATCAGAGTGACAGTGGCCTGGCGCCTTCCAGCCTGAGGCCCTACAGCTTGTGTTTGCTCCTCACAGACAGCAGCGATGAGGACCAACACCCCAGAGGCCCCAGGGAACACCGAAGGAAGCCCCACAGGGACAGCTCTCCCGGTAGGCAGCAGGCTCCTCACCTTTCCTTTGCTAGTGGGGCCATGTGAGACGGTTCGTCACAAAATGCTGTTTGCAGCCATATTAGTCGGAAATAGCCTACTTAACACCCCCCTGGGCTCTGCCTTGGTGGTAGTCATGGTTGTCCTTTTGTATGGTTTGAGTCAGGGTTTCACTGTGTGGCCTTGGCTGTCCTAGAACTCCCTCCGTAGACCAGGCTGGCCTTAAACTCACAGAGATCTGCCTGCCTCTGCCTCGGGAGTGCTGGGGAAAACGTGTGCCATCACACCCAGCTTTGTTTGTTTTTGATGAGCACTTTTCCAGCTCTGACATGATGGGTGGCAAATCACAGAACTCACTTGACCTCAAATGTATTTGTAAAGAAATCTTACACAAAACAGGAAGAAGGGGCCTGAGATGGCTCAGCAAGCTAAAGGTACCTGACTCCAAGCTTGATGACCTGAGCTGCATGCCCACACAGGAGGGAACTGACTTCCAAAAAGTTGTTCTCTGACCTCCACATGGGCTCCGTGGCATGAGATCCATGCCCCATGCAAGTAAAGAAATATTCAAAAGAATAGTTTACAAAGCATAAAGATATTAACAGTAATTATGATAGTGAAGCTGTGAGGCATATTTATTATGTATGTATTTTTGCAACACTGGGGTGGTACCCAGGGTTCTTGCAAGTGTTCTTCCACTGAGCCACATTGAGCTCCAACCTCAACCTGCCCCTTTTGAAAAATGTATCACTCATATGTATTTATATGTATGAGTATTTTGCCTGCAGGTGTGTGTGTGTACCATATGCATGCATAGTGCCCAGGGAAGCCAAAAGAGGGTGTCTGATCCCCTGGAACTTGAGCCACAGATTGTTTTGGACCAACTGGTAGATGGGGTCTGGGGGTTGAACCTGGGTCCTCTGCAAGAACAGCCAGTGCTCTTAACCTCTTAACCTGAGCCATCTTTCTAGTCCTAGAAAATCACTTTTGCCAAAATAAATAAATTTTGCGAAAAGAAAAGAGCATCGGGGAAAGAATGAGAATTAATGAATGAATGTCTATTGCTGAGCCTGGTATGCACAAAGTGCTTGATAAATGCTGGAGTTGAGCCTAGGTTCTATTTCTAGAGCTACAGCTAGCTGGGGATCTGGGTATGGAGCTCAATTGTGAAGTCTGTGCTTAGCCTTGTATTTCCAACACCAAAAATGATAATGATAAATAAATAAAATAACAGCAAATAAAAAAAAAAAAAACCAAACCAAGAATTCAGGTTTTATGAGAGACCTGTAGAGTCACTCCTTACTGTGTGTGTTTGGTAGAATCATTTTACTTTTTGTTTTTCTCTCCATCACCCCACATCCCTGTGCTGGGATCAGATCAGTGTCTCACACATGTTAGGAGAGCTCTCCCACCAAGCTGTTCCCTGAGCTGTAATTGAACCTTTGCATCTCAGCTGCTTTGTCTGCAGAATAGATAGGTGTGCATTGGTGCCTTCTGAGAACTCTTTCAATGAGAACCAAAGGAAACATTTAATAGAAATAACTTAGTACAACGGGCGTTGGTGGCGCACGCGTTTAATCTCAGCACTCGGGAGGCAGAGACAGGTGGATCTCTGTGAGTTCGAGGCCAGTCTGGTCTCCAGAGCAAGTGCCAGGATAGGCTCCAAAGCTACACAGAGAAACCCTGTCTCAAAAAACCAAAAAAAAAAAAAAAAAAGAAAGAAATAACTTAGTACACCATTGGCACACCTTAGAGCTTAGTAAATGACAAGCATTCTTACTATATAACTTACTATATAATTTATCTATGTGTATGTGTGTTTTGCCTACCTATATGTATTCGTACCATGTACATACCTATGCCCACAGAGGCCAGAAGAGGGTTCAGATTGCCTGAAACTAGAATTGCAGGCAATTGTGAGCTGCCATGTGGATGCTGGGAACTGAACCCTGGGCCCTCTGCAAGAGCAGTTAGTGCTCTTAACCTCTGAGCCACCTCTCCCACTGCAGTAACTGTTCTTGACTGTTCTTCACTGAGCCTTGGGCCCAGCCAGGCCTGCAGTTTCATATCAGTAACAGAGCATAGTAGCCTCTAGGGGCACTGAGGGTAAGTACGTACCTGAGACTCTGTTTACCTTTTGGAGACCAGATGTGGGGATATGGAGGTGGCCCTGGGACACTGGGGAAAGTTGACCAAGGTTTGTTTCCACCCAGGTGCTGACCACGGGGAACTGGAGGTGCTGAGAGATGACCTTCAGCTCTATGGAGGTAACTGCTGGTCCCCTGGCTTTGAAGAAGAGAATCATGAGGGCCGAGTGGGCAGAACAAGGGTGGAGTCTCATGATCGGAAGACTCCCAGGCAGACAGATGAGGTAGTGAGGCCACAGCAATCCAGGTGGGACCCCGGTGCCCTCTACTGCAATTACGACGGTTCAAGGACAGTCAGTCTTCTCTACTGACTGGAGCCCCTGCTTTCAGCACAGTTGACTGGTCACCCAACAGATCTGGGCCACAGTTTTGCCATCAGCAAAATGGGAGTGATCCACTTCACTCTCTTGGAACCCTGTACTGTTTAAGAATGGCTCAGACCCCAGTCCCCTTTTATGAACTGTTTCCAAGAGCCCTGTACGATGGTGAGGAGGCGTAGGAAACATGGAAATGAAGGGCAAATACTGGGGCACTTTGGTCGTAGCACTACAATGAAGGAGGGAAGTCTACAGATTGACTTAGTTCATCAAAGAACCTGGCAGACGCGCACTACCCAGTGAGAGCCAGGGCCCCCAATATCCACCTCGTCCCCCAATTCCTAGTAATGACCCAGAGAAACAGCAAGAAACAAGGGTTGAGTACACTCAGAGCACATATTGGAATATAACACACAGCTGCCTTTTAGCGCTGGCATTGTGAGGGATCTTTATATTGTCTTTTTTTTTTTTTTTTTTTTTTTTTGTTTTTTTGAGAGAGACAGGGTTTCTCTGTGTAGCTTTGGAGCCTATCCTTGCAGTCGCTTTGGAGACCAGGCTGGCCTCGAACTCACAGAGATCCGCCTGCCTCTACCTCCCGAGTGCTGGGATTAAAGGCGTGTGCCACCAACACCTGGCTCTTTATATTGTCTTATTTGTTTATTTGAATGTATTCATTTATTTTAGTACTAGAGACTGAATTCAAGAATGTTTTCTTTGTTGTTAGTTTGATTTTTAAAAGATTTTTATTTTTACTTTGTCTTAAAGATTTTTTTTAACTTTCTATTTTTATTTCACTTATTTATTTTATGAGTGTTTTGCTTACATGTATGTCTGTTTATTATGTGTATGCCTGTGAAGGCTAGAAGAGGGAGTTGGATCTCTTAGAATTAGAGTTACAAACAGATTTGAGCTGCCATGAGGGTAGGGACCAAACCCAGGTCCTCTGAAAGAGGTGCTATTTCTCCTGTATCACACACCCATACACACACACACACACAGGCACGCACACACGTATGTGCCTGAGTGTGGTTTATGAATATGAGTGCAGTGCCAAAACAAGCCAGAAGAGGGCATCAGATTCCCTTGAAGCTGGAACTACAGGAGGTTATGAGCATCTAGGACTCTTAAATACTCTGCCATCTCTCTGGTCCCTATTTTATTTTGTTTTACATAAAAAGTACTAGTTTTACGTGGCTTGAGGTGGGGGGCGGTGACTGCCAATTAGATAGCACAGGAACCTTTCAGCCAGCTCCGGTCCCCACCCAGCCTACACTAGATCATTGTAAGACTCCAAGTAGGCCCTACTTCCCTCCATAGTACCCCTTCTCGGGAGAGCACCATCATGTGTGTGCTCACCGATTCTCCTTCCATGCAGGTGATTCTGGGGAAATGGTGCTTGCTGGGGAGTCAGGTGAGTACTAGAGTCGAGTGTCATCTGGGCACTGTCCTGATGAGCACTCTCAGGGTCACGGCTGTGAGACATGGGAACTCCAGGGCCACTTAGGGACCTGGCTGCATGCAATGGACAGGAGAGGAGTTGTGGGACAATGGATGGGGGCCCAGGCAAGAGGAAGCAGACATCAGCCAGTTAGGAAAGGTCCCTTGGATCCCATGGCTGGAGAATTACCAAGAGCCTTCTCTTAGTCACCTCTGGATGGCTAGTCACGGGGGTGAAAGCCCCTGGCAAGGAGCCTGGGCCAACCTGGCACTAACACTGAGTCTCTCATTTCTAGGACTCCGAAGAAGAGGTTCCGGCTCAACAGGGGGTAAATATATAAGCTCCAAGGACAGTAGGAGGCTGTGTGGATCCCAGAGGGTCCAGAGAGGAGCACAAATGGCCTGAGAGGGTGGGCAAGTTCTAGCAGGGATGTCAGCACCCATATAACTTAGAAAGAAGCCTCCGTTAGAAGGGAAATGGAAGGAAGAACAGGGCTAGGCCTATAGAGGGGTGAGGAAGTCAGCGAGGGTCCCGGGGACAGCCACCCCTATCTTCAGGATCCTGTCTGGTGCTCCTGCTGAGGTCACCGCCTGACCCAGAGACACCCAGCACTCGAGTCTCTAAGGCCAGAGTAGCAATCTACAAAACACATCTCTCTCTTTAATTCTGAAGGAGAAATGGAGGCATCTCAGTTAAGAAGGTTGAACATAAAGAAGGATGGTAAGTAACTCAGCATTCAGGAGCCATGCTCACCTGGCTGGTCCAGATTTCTGTGCGTGCAACTAGAACCACAGTAACCCCAGTCACCTCTGCCAGGCACCCCACAGTTAGCAAAGTCCTCAGCTCTAATCACCTGGGAGGGTGGGGTTGGAATACAAGCAGTGATGCCCATCTTGTCATGTAGAAACGGAGGCCCACAGTTGGTCAGGGCCTTCCAATAGCGCTGAAGGGAATGGCCTGGGCTTGACACTGGTCAAAAGCTCTCTTTGCTCTGCATGCAAACACAGGGAGATAAATGTTTCATGCTCTGTGGTGGGACATAGTCAGGCTGTGGGATTCATGAGGTTCCACTGAAGAAGTGATGAGAGCTCCAGGCCTTCCTCTGCTCCAAGCCTGGAATCCATGAGGACTTCCTGGAAGACCGTGAGGATAGGAAAGCGTGACTTTGGTTTTTTATTTGTTTATAAGATTAAAAAAATATTTATATGAGTACATGTGTCCAAGGAGACCAGAAGAGAGTGTCAGAGCCCCTGGAGCTAGAGTTACAGGTGGCTGGCTGTACACTGGTAGAGATGGGTTGTGTGATCAAAGTTGGATTTCTGCAATAGCAGTAGTACTCACTGCTGAGCCATCTCTCCAGACTCTCACCATGCTTTTTGATTCAACAAATGGTAGCTGTTCTAGGAAAATCTTGAGTTACTTCAAAAGGTCCCCATACACTCCCATTTTTTTCAGAGGAGAGACCTGGGCTTAAGCCCTTTCTTAGTCTTGATCCCTGACAACCAGAGCACTCTGGCTGGGGGTGGGGCTAGGCATAAAAAGGCTCATTGGACTGAAACCCAGAGTCTCAAAGTACAGACCTCGTACTTGCTTCAGGACATGTAGAGTGTGTTATGCTCCAAAGGAAGGCAATTCCCTTCTGCCTCTGGAAGCTCGAGTCTTTGATTTAGCCTTGGCCCTACTCATCAGCCTTGAGAAAGACCCTTTCCCAGACTGCAGGGTTTGCGCTCTCTGTTCTAGGTTGGCTTTTGTTTTGGTTAGTGTGTGGGAGGCAGTGTTTTGTTGAGTCTTGTCTTGATCATTCTTCCTTCGTAACCCAGACTGACTTCAAACTTGGGGTGCTTTTGCCTCAGCTTCCTCAGTACTGGGATCGCAGGCATGCACCACCACTCCTGACTTCCCTTAAGCTTTCTTTTGTATTCGTCTATGAGGAAGCAGGGAGACCACTATTGACCCGGGTGAGATGCCTACCCTCAGTGCCTCGCACCCGAGGTGCAGCCTCTCGAATGCCTGTTAGCCTCAGAACTTTGCACTCAGTGCCTTTGCATGTTTCACAGTTGTGGTTTTTTTGTTTTATTTTTAATGCTCACTCAACAAATGAATTCTGAGCATCCGTATGGCTGCTCTAACTTCTGAGTTTCCTCAGACAGGAGGTTCACTGGGATCCTCTTTCTCGAAGACCTAGAGCCCAGGGAGGAGGAAACCGATAAACACAGAAATAAAACCCAAGCTGTGTGGCTGTACATGTTTCAAAAATAATGAAGTAAGATAGGGCTGAAAGGGGGGCTCCTGGGGTGCTCTTTAACACAGCCTGGTCAGGAGCAGGATCGCTATCATTTATAAAACAAGAAGCGGCTGGATCGATGGTTCAGCAGTTAAGTGCATTTCCCCTTTGTCAGAGGACTGCAGTTTGGATCCCAGCACCCATATCAGGTCCCTCACTAATGCCTGTAACTCCAGCTCCAAGGGATGTGATGCCCCTTTCTGACTTGTGGGTATTTGATGCACTCTCATGTAGGGGCATGCAATCACCTACATACAAATACAATAAAAGATAGAACAGTTGGGCATGGTGGTACACACCTTTAATCCCAGCACTAGGCTGGCAGAGGCAGGCGGGTTTCTGTGAGTTCAAGGCCAGTCAGGGTGACCTAGTGAAACACTATCTCAAATAAATAAATAAATAGCTGGCCATCGTGGCACATACCTTTAATCTCAGTACTCTGAAGGCAGAGGACCTCTGTGATAACAAGGGCAGCTTGGTCTACACAGAGAGTTTCAAGTCATCCAGGGTTACAGGGTAAAACAAACAAACAAACACACACACCCAAATTAAAACAAGACAACAGGCATGGCATTGTGACACACACCTGGAACCCTTACTCTGAAGGCGGAAGCAGAAGAATCCTAAGTTGAAGGTAACCCTGGGCTCCATAGAGATCCTGCCTCAGAAAACAAAGCAAAAAATAAAAACCAGGGGGTTGTGGTGATGGCCTTAGTTGAGAGAGAGAGAGAGAGAGAGAGAGAGAGAGAGAGAGAGAGAAAGCAGCCTCCGCTCTTTTCTTGCAGATGAGTTTTTCCATTTCGTCCTCCTCTGCTTCGCCATTGGAGCCTTGCTGGTGTGTTACCACTACTACGCAGGTGGGGGCTCCCTGGGGACCTGCGAAGGGGCTGCATGGGAGGTCAGGGAGTTGACCTACAGCCCAAATACTGACTGTTCTTTCCTTGCTACCCTTGAAGACTGGTTCATGTCCCTTGGGGTTGGCCTGCTCACCTTTGCCTCCCTGGAGACCATTGGCATCTACTTCGGGCTGGGTAAGTGGTCCTGTCGAAAAGCTACACAGACTGGAAGGCTTCTGGAGGCTGGAGTGGTAGCTGCCATCATACCCACCAAGAGTCACGATTTAAACTTTTTTTTTTTAAGAATAAATTCCTCATGTTTGTGTTTTCTTCCTGACTGCATGTGAGGTCAGTGAGAGGTCCTTGGCAGAACCTTGTGGAAAAAGGGGGCAGCCCCACAAAAACAGTTTAAAGTGGCAAACACGCATAGCTCCTCAGATACTGAAAACAAGCTAGTGGAGCCAGGCATCGAGGTCGCTGGGTTTCCTGTCCCTGTTATTATTGCCTGTGACTCTTTTCCGTGTAATAACCACAGCACTGTTTTTGACGTTAGCCTAAAATTGCATGTTAGGCTTTGTTTGCGTGGGGTGTGCCTCGGTCCTGGGGAGACAGGGAGTGAGCCTGACCCTGGGGCCCTTGAGGGGCCAGCCTCCTGACCAACATTTTCCCTTGCTTCTGAGCAGTGTACCGGATCCACAGTGTACTTCAGGGTTTCATCCCCCTCCTTCAGAAGTTCAGGCTGCCAGGTAATGGTGCTACACATTTCCCCATCCAAACTCTCTCCTGGTCGGGGCTTTTATCTTGGAAAGAGATCTGCCATCTAGGGAAAGTCCTAGAGGCAAGAGGCTCAGGTTCAAGTTCTGCCTCTGTTCTGTGACCCCAGACAGCCTTTTTCTGTGCTGGCAATGGAGTCCAAGACCAGCAGCATGCTAGACAAGCTGCAACCCACCTGTCTGCAGCCTCTTTGAACCTCAGGTTTCCCAGCTGGAAAAGTCTCCATGAGTCTGTGTGTGTGTGTGTGTGTGTGTGTGTGTGTGTGTGTGTGTGTGTGTGGTTTGGCTAGGATGGGACCCAAGGCTTCACACATGCTAAGAAATTGCTCTGCAGAGCCACACTCCAACCCACTGTCTTTGACAGCAGCCCTGCAGCTTTGTATTTAGTGGTGTTGTGCCTCAGAGTCTGGAAGCCAGGCAGGGATAGTGTGTCTCTGTGCTGAGGGTGGAGGTGGTAATATCTCCATAACTATGGACCACAGGGCACCCCAGAACCTTCAGGAAGGTTGCTATCGTCACTGTGCTGTTTGGTCATTTGAGGTGGGGGTGGGGGCAGGACTTGACTGCCTGCAGAACCCTATATCATCCTGCCGGCTTTGCCTTCCAGGGTTCAGGAGAACTGACTGAGAACACTGCCTGATGGCATCTGAGCCAGTCCCCAATGTGACCACTGTAACCACTGCCATACCTGAGTCCAGAAGACAGACGACATGCTGGAAGACACCAGGAGGCCCTGCCTGGGCAATAAAGAGCTCTTTCCTTCCATGCGGTCTCAGTGTTGGCACCAGTGGGCAGGCTCTCCCTCTGCAGATTAACGCATAGTCTCTATGGGGAAGAGAGAAGGGATGGTATATAAGTCAGCAGAAAGGTCCTGGGACACCATTGCTCTTAGGGGCAACATGAGTCCTGGGCACTGAGGGCTGGCATCTGTGGGCTCCGGTCTCTCTTGTGTCCTCAGGCCATGCCCAGGAGCTCATAGTTCCTGCAGAGCCATCCTGGGACAAATGGTCTACTGCAGGGTGCTACCAGGCTGGGTCCCTAGGGGAACCTGTTGCAGGTAAGATGCCTGGGACTAAAGCTGTGCTCCCATCACCCAGTGACCACCCTGTTGCCCTTGGATGTCTTCAAAATCCAAATAAATATTCTGTTCTCTATGCTAAAAAGAGTAGACTAAATATTCCTTAAGTTTCTTTTTTGTTTTTACTTTTTTTACATGGGTTCTCATGTTGCCCATGCTGGCTCAAACTCTCTATGTAGCTGTGGCAGTTTGAATGTAATTGGCCCCCATAAGCTCATTGGCAGTGACACTATTAGGAGGTGTGGCTTTGTTGGAGGAAGTGTGTCGCTGCAGGGTGGTTTTGAGGTCTCCATGCTCAAGATACGCCCAGTGTCTCAGACCACTTTCTGTTGCCTTTGAGTCAAGATGTAGGACTCTCAACCCCTTCTCCAGCACCATGTCTGCTTGTATGTCACCATGTCCCACCATGATGATAGTGGACTAAACCTCTGAAAATGTAAGCCATCTCAATTAAATGTTTTTCCTTTATAAGAGTTGCCATGGTCATGGTGTCTCTTCACAGCAACAGATCTCCTAAGACAGTAGCCAAGGCTAATGTTGAATTCCTTCTTCTCCTGCCTCCACCTCCTGAATGCTGGGATCTTAGGTGTATTCCTCCATACCCATTGTAACATGGTGCTAGGAATTGAACCCCGTGCCTTGTGCCTGGTAGGTGAATACCAGATGAGCTATATCCCTGGCACTCCTTTAGGTCTCATGAGCGTGAGAACACATCTGGGGACTCCTTTGAAGCCATCTAGGTGAGTGAGCACTTATCTAATTGCATAGAGTATAAATAAGAATGTACACATAGCACAAAATTCAGGACTTCATTTGCACAGGTGAGGATGTTAGGAGGGAGTTTGCAAACATTCCTATAGAAAAAAAAATTGTGTGTGTGTGTGTGTGTGTGTGTGTGTGTGTGTGTGTGTGTGTGTGTGTGTGTGTGTGTGTGTGTGTGTGTGTGTGTACTGGAGATGGGCTCAGCACTTGCCTCAAGTTCACAAAGCTCTGGATTTAACCCCAACACCACACAAACTGGGCATGGTATTGCGGTTTTGCATGCTGGTAATCCTGAGCACTGGAGAGGTGAAGGCAGGCAGATCAGGAGTTTAAGACCAGCCTCAGCTATATAGGGAGTTCAAGAGCAGTCTGAATTAATGAGATCCTATGTCAAAAAATAATGGGGGTCAGGGATTTGGTATTTTGAGATCAACAAATACCAAAGGAGACTGTAGCCTTGCCTTGTTAGGAACTTACTATGTAGACCAGGCTGCTCTGGAACTCATAGAGATCCACCTGTTTCTGTATCTCAAGTGCTGGCACTAAAGGCATGGTAGCACATGCCTTTAGTCCCAGCTCAGAGCATACTCTGTGGGATAGAGGAGATCTAACTCAGGTATGCAAGGCTGGCCCTAGTGCCTTTGCCTGTTGAGCCATCTTGCTGATTCAGCTCTAGACTTTATATCAAGGGCAACAATGACAATCTAGAAAACACACAAAGAGACCATGCATGCCATTGTACACCTGTACTCAGGAGACAAAGGCAGAAGAGTCACTGCAAGCTGGGGGCTAGCCTGATCTACATTTCCAAGCTAGAAATGGCTACTTACTGAGATTTTTTTTTCTTTTAGGAGTAAAAAAAAGATGACAAAATCAATTATTTCGTATTCTAAGTTGAAAAATTAGTTTCAAAACACACAGAAAGTAAGACTAGAGTAAGACTATAAAAGGCCTTGTTGGAGGAGGTGTGTCACTGTGGGGCAGGCTTGAGGTTTCAAAAGACTGGTGCCATTTCCAGTGTGCCTTTCTCTCTGCCTTGTACTTGCGGCTCAGGATGTCAGCTGTTCCTGACACCATGCCTTGGCTCAGCCATCATGAACTCAAACTCTCTGAAAGTGTAAGCTCAGATTAAACGCGTTCTTTCATAAGTTGTCTTGGTCATGGTGTCTTATCACAGCCATAGAAAAGTAACTAAGGCAGTTCCCATCACTAACACAGCAATCCACAACTGTCTGTAACTTCTCCAAGGGATCCAGTGTCCTCTTCCGCTTTCCATGGAGCACATATAGACAAGTAGGTACACAAACATAAATTTGAAAAAGTATCAGAATGGGAAAAAAATCTTTTAAAAAGTGCAATAGGGTTGGAGAGATGGCTCGGCAGTTAAGAGCACTTGTTCTTTCACAGGGCCCAGGTTGGATTTCCACCATCCACACAATGGCTACCAGCCACCCATGACTGCAGTTTCCAGGAGATCTGACACCCTCTAGTCTCTTCAGACACTGCACACATGTGACCCTGAAGGGTGCAAATAAAGGTTTGATGAGTGAATAAATGACAGATGGACTGTGTGCTGCTACAAGGGTTGGAGTAGCTCAAAATTGTTCAATTTATTCTCCCTCACCGATAAGTAGATTATAGCAGAGAAGGCTTCAGGCCAGTGCAAAGATCTGGGTTGCCCTGGGACAGCCTTTCGGGATGAATTATTTGAGTGTCTCTACTCTGCATCTCAGTGTCTTCTTTCCATCCTTCTTTCTCTCTCGTCTGTCTCCACCTGCATTCTGTCCTCAGTGTGGCTCAGGAGCAGCCTGACATCCTGACACCACATCCTTCCTGTTTGTTTGTGAGACAAGGTCTCTTTTACCCCGTGCTGGCCTCAAAGTCCATATACACCCAAGGATAACCTCGGACTTCTGATGCTCCTGCCTCCACTCTTCCCGGAGCTGAGATTACAGGCTTGTGACACCTTGCCTAGTTTATGTAGCGCTGGATGGAACCTGGTGCTTCCTGTACGCTAGGCAAGTGCTCTTCCCATTGCCTCACATCCAGAATCCCAGAGCCTTCCCTATTGTAAAGCCAGCAGAGAGGCAGAAGGAGAGCGGTGCCTGAGCTGTCCTGACCTCCTGTGTGAAGCAACTCAGCACTTCACAGTGGATGGACAGCTGTCTTCAGACACTGGTTGTCTGAAGGTGGTGGAGGGTGCTGGTCCCACAGACTGGAAAAGAACCGCCCCAGTCCAACAGCTGGTTCAACTCTCTATCTCCAGGGCAGAGAGGTGCTGTAGACTGAGCTGAGATTGCCCCTGACTCTGATTCCTACTGACACCTTAACCCCCAATCAGGCTGTACTTGGGGGTGGAGACTGTGAAGATGTGATGAGGTATGAGCTCGCAACGGCAGGGCCCAAATCAGGAGAGACGTCAAAGTGTTCTCCTGCCACTATTGACCACGAAAGACGGCCACTCCACCATAAACCAGCTGTGCTGGTAGCTTGACTTTGGACTTAACAGCTTTGCCAGGGCCTGTATTAGTCCCACGCTACAGAGGCTACTTATTCCAGACTGATGTCTTTGGACCCTAAAACATTATAGTCAATATTTTTGGGGCCCCGATGCAACTTCCAGGACTACGAGAGGCAAGGCTCCTCCACTGTATGAGCCACCAGAGTCTAAGATACTTCATGACTGACATAAAGGGGTAGTCTAAACATGTCACCAAGTCTAGACATGAAGCTTGGGGTCCGAGGAGGTCAAGAGAACTGGAGTTCTCAAGGCAGAGCATCAGAGGGAAACAGTGTAGAGAGGACACCTGGAGATCCCCAGAGGGTCTTCTCCACGGCCTCAGCTAAGAGCCACACCTCTTCTTCCTGAGGCCTGAGGACTTGGGTTTCTCTGTCCTGAATCTCATGTTTTCCCAGGTGGAGGGTTGGGGTTAGAGCGGCTAAAGGTAGTGGAAACAGCCTATGCCTAGACTGGGGACCTTAATGAGGGTGCTAAGGGGTGCTTGGGGCTTGAGGTTTTTGGAAGAGTAAAGATGAGGTACTGGAGACTGACAGGAAGGAGATGGAGGTGAAAGTTCATCAGACTCTCTCTGAGTTGTTTCTAGCTCTTACTCCTCATCGGTTTGTGTGGTGGACAGTGTTTACCCACCATGCACTACGGGCCAACATCCTAGGCAGAGGGGGTGCCTTCTGTTTTAATTTGCATTTCTCTGTTTACTAATGAGTCAGAGCACTTTCTATTTTACTTTTTATGTGTCTGAACATTTTGCCTTCATGTGTGTCTGTGCACTGACTGCATCCATGGGACCTGGGGAGGCTATAAAAGGGTGCTGGATCCCCTAGAACTGGAATTACAGGTGGTGTGCTCTGTCATGTGGGTGCTGGGAATCAAATCTAGGTCCTCTGAAAGAGTGGCCAGTACTCTAAACCAATGAACCATCTCTCCAGACACCTGAGAACTTTTTATTTCGTGCTCACTTGGATTTGCTTGCTAGCATGCATGAAAGTTCCCAGGGTCACCCAAGATAGACTGTTACTGCTGAAGATCACTGAAGGCTGACTACACATTACGTCTTCTGTAGAACATACTACCCAGGATGGTGGCTCATGTCTATAATCCCAGCTACTTAGGGAGGCCAAGGCAGGAGAATATTGCAAGTTCAAGACTAGTCTGGGCTGCAGAGTGAGACTGTCACAGAAACGATCATTGTGGCTCCAAGAGATTGAGGCAAGAGAATCACTGTGTGTTCAAGGCCAGCCTGGACTATGTAATAACTTCCAAGCCATCCTAGACTTACAAGAGTAAGACCCAGTCTAAAAAAACCCATCAGGGACTCAGAAAAGGCTCAATCTCTGAAGTGCTTGCCACACACATAGAACTTGGATTCAATCCCAGAACCCAAATTAAAAGGCAGGGCTGGAAAGATGACTCAGCAATTAAAAGTGCTTACTGCTCTTGCAGAGGACCTAGGTTTGGTCCCTACATGGTGGCTCAAAATCACCTGTAACTCCACTTCTGAGGGAACTGATACCCTCTGGCCTTCTCAGGCATCTGCACACAGGTGGTGCACATAAACTCTTGTGCGTGCTCTTGCGAGAGCGGGCGCGCGCACACACACACACACACACACACACACACACACACACACACACACACACACACATTAAAAATAATAATTCTTTTGTAGACAGGTCTCTCTGTTCTGTTGCTCTGGCTGTCCTGGAACTCACTACATAGACCAAGCTAGTCTTGAACTCAAGAGATCCACCTGCCTCTGCCCTCTGAGTAATCCAATTAAAGGTGCTCACCTGGTC